AGCAGCTGAAAGATGAAAAACGTTAAAGAAGTGATAATCTAAGTAGTTGAATGTTTGAAGTTTTTGCACAGTTGAGGTCAAGCTCTTTGAGATGACTGAGAAGAAGGAGACGCCTTCAGTAATGGAATCTTTCTCTGGGTTGGATTTTTTTTTTAATTTTGCCCCATTTCTTGCTAAACTTAAAAAACTGAGGAAATCAGAGCAGAGTAGATGATTCATATATTTCATTGACAACTGATGAGGATATTGTCTTCATAATGGAAAAAAATATTCTGCAATCCATTGTTAGCAAAGCATCCAAAGCTAAATGCTTTTCACTGATTGTTGACTCTTTACCTGACACTGCACACTTTGACTAATTTACAATAAATATTCGATATGTGAGCGAGGAAGCTGTTGTGGTAAAAATATTTATTGGGTTTGAGTTTTCTTGTTGACATAACTGAAAGGCTATTAGATATGCAGTCAAGAAAAGATTAAAAGAGCTCAGCTTAACTATGGTTGTGGTACGTTATATAACAATACATCTAACATGTCTGGAAAATACAACAACCTGCAAGCATAAGTGAAAAATGAAAATCTAAACATTGGTTTTATTCCTTGTGCAGCACATTCGTTAAATTTAGTTAGCGTAAATACTGGGGGCAGTTGTAAGACTACATTTGAGTTTTTTGAGTTTCTTCAATGTCTTTAAACTCACAGACGGCAGGTACTATGTTCTGGTCTTGTTAGTGGTGCAAAAAAAGACAGTAAAAAAAATTTTTTTTAAACAAAACAGGAGGTGGTTAAAAGAAGCTATTTCTATTAAAATTCTACATGCAAATAACAGTCATATTTTTGAGACCCTTGAATCAATTGTTTTGGATAAAGATGAAAAACGTCAGACTCATAAAATAAACTCTTCAAAAAAGCGAAAACTTTGTATAATTATTATTATTATTATTATAGTTGCAGCCGTAAAATATACATACCATATATACATACAGCGAGCAGGGAAAACACTCTACTATAAACAACCTAATTTTAAAAGAAAGTACAGTGGATTATAAAGTTACTTGCTCAGGTAGTTCATTCCAGTATTTTGCTGATCTATTATACAATTGGTTGTGTCTTGGAAGACAGTTTGGAACATATTCACGTCTTATTTTAAGATGGTGACCACGTAACAACGAGTTACTAAATTTTGGTTGATATATATTATTAATTATATCAAATCGATGTATTAGTTTAAAAATTTGTATTAGATCGCATTGTAGGCGCCGAAACTCGAGTGATGGTAGATTTAGTCCTATAAGTCTTTCATAGTATTAAAGATTTCTCAAGTTTAAAGCCCATTTTGTTGCTTTACGTTGAACAGATTCAACCAAAGCTACGTCAGTTTTTAAATACGGGGCTCAAACAGACACTGCATATTTAAGGTGTGGTCTTATAAACACTTTATATAATTTGAGAACCATTTTTTCATCAACGATGTTGAATGTCTTTTTTAGCATATTAAGAATTTGTAAAGATTTGGAGACAACTGATTGAATATGTGTATTCCACTTGAGGTTAGATGTAAAAATGACTCCTAAATCGCGCTCTTTAATAGAGCTTCTTAGGTTTTCATTTATACTTTGGTTATTTTGAAAAAAGTAGCTATACATAGGATTGGTTTTATCATAATGGATAACATAGCATTTTGAAATGTTTAACTTAAATAACCAAGTGTTTGACCACGCGTATACTAAGCGTAGACGGTCCTGCAGATTAACGAAATTATTCTGTGATAAAGTTTTAAAAAAAAATTTAGTATCGTCTGCAAATACTTTAGAAGTTTCTGTAAGTTGGGCAAGATCGTTTGTAAAAATAATAAAGAGGAGCGGGCCGAGAACAGAACCTTGAGGAACACCACTAAGAACATTAACCCAGTCAGAGCTAGTATTATTAATTGTAACGCGTTGCTTTCTGCCTACTAAGAAGGAATTAATCCATTGTAGTAGTTTGCCGTTTATTCCGAATGATTTTAATTTTAACATGAGTCTCGTGTGAGGTACGGAATCAAAAGCTTTAGCAAAGTCGAGGTAGATTACATTTATAAACTGGTGCAATGCTAGGAAAGACGAAATAATGTCAAAAGCCTCTATTAGATTGGTTACACAAGACTTATGATGAAGGAAGCCATATTGATTTGTAGAGAGCATGTTGTTATCATTGATGTGCTTCAAGATTTTATTCTTTACAACTTTTTCAAATAATTTGCATGCAACAGAGGTAAGTGAAATAGGGCGATAGTTTTCAGGAAGTAGTTTGTCTCCTTTTTTTTATAGATCGGACAAATATTTGCTAATATTTGGATGTTGCTTTTATGAAAGAGCTTTGACTCAGAATCATATTCTGATTAATGAGGCATTGAAAAATTTTGAAAAACACTTATTCCCTATTATAGAAAAGTTGACCGTTTCAGTCATTGTTGCTGCTGTCCAATATGATTACACCTTTTTTAACTTAGTTGATAAAAAATTTTGTTAAAAAGACTATTAAATCTTGCATGTTTCATAAAAATTTAAAATACATGATGAAAATATTGCTTGCATAATTTGGAATTTTTTCGGGCAGAATGAGATTATTTTAGCATTTACATCCAAAATTTTGGCATTTAACATTTATAAAGTTCTGGCCACCCAGATTGTGGCAGTTAGAAGAAAAAAAATGGTCAGAGATTGCGATGAAAATTGCTCAGTTAAGTAGTGCTTACTTTGTAACAGGTTGATTTTCAATTTTTTTATAAAATTTTTACTTATCTAAAGTAATACCACATTTTTTTAATACTATGCACATTTGCATTATGCATTATGTGCGTTACTTATTGAATGTTTATGAAAAGTTCATAATTTGAAAAAATAAGGCTTTTATAAAATTATATAAAACTTTTTTATATTTTTAAATAATTTTATTTCGTATTTTCTTTTAATTGTTGGTTAAGCATCACACAGCACGTAAGTATGCAAGAACTTATCTATTTTGTTAGTTTTTAACTTTAGTTCACTCGTCGATTGTCTGTTGTCGCTGAATTTCGCGAATGGTTTTACACTATTTTCCAAGCTAGTTAGGTCTGGCATTTTAGAAGGTCCAATGAACGTGTATGTTAAATTTTTTTTTAGGGACAACAAAACCGAGGGAGGAGAGGGTGATGGGTGCGGTATTTTTTAGTTTGTGTAGATTCTAGATTGTATGATTTATTTTTTTACGACTACGTTTTATATATCTTCAAGGTTTTTAAACTATTTGTGTGACGATTGATTTTTTATAATTAGGAAAGAAATCCAATGATCCACAACAAGTCGATTTTGTTCTATTAGTATTTTTATTTAGTAAATTGCTGAAAAGAAAGCCAAAACATCTTGAAAAATACCAAAGATTCGCATAACGTGGTGCGAAAAAACAGCAAAATATCAACATAATTGAAAAAAAAAGAAAAAATTTACTGAAAAAAAAAGAAAAAATTTACTTCAAAATTAAATTTTCCTTGCAAAGAAGAATCGAATGAAAAAAGTATGACTTCTCTGTATCAATAATTGTTTATTATTAATTGTAATTGACATTATCTTGAACTTCTAACAACCATTTTAATCTTCGACCTTCATCATAATCTTTAATTCTAACAATTATTTTAATCTTAGACCTTCATCATAATCTTTAGTTCTAACAATCACTTTAATCTTTGACTTTCATCCTGATTCTTACATAAACTTTCAACTCAAGCAGTGGTTGCTTACAGTTTGTTGTGAAGTTTTTTCATTTTTTTTAAAAAGTAAACGTTAAAGGAAACAACTTTGGAGATTTTTTTTCATTTGTCATTGAGTGCAAAGTTGGGCAATGTTTTATTCTCTCCAGTTTACTGTAATCAAAAATTTCAAACCCATAACATATCATTTTTAAATTTTCTTTTTTTTTTGGTATACAAACAAAAACACAATCAGAACGTTCAAAGCTTAAAAGCGTTGTAACTAAACAAAGGCTAATAATATTACTGTTAAAAAAAAAAAAATTGAAAAGAAATCAAGATGAGTTATATAAATTAAAAACAAATGTTGAAACTATACGGAGCAAGTTAATGATGAAAGTTGTTCTGATAAAAATTAAACTTGATGTTACGAACTATGATTTAAGTATAAGTTTTAACATAACAAAGAAAATGAATCCCTAATTATGCGAAAATGGTTATCAGAATTAGCTGGAGTGTTGAAAAATCTCATAGTATGACCCAGATCTCTTGCGACCAAACTTGCTAAACTGCTTTAAAAACTTTAAAAACTATTGCTGCATAATTTACTGCACCGAAATATTCATCACAAGGCCATTAAACTTAACAGCGAGAACACAAACTTACTCTACCTACAAGTTACACAACACGTATTAATGACTAATTCCAATGGCTTCGGCAGGAAGTTTTTTATTTTCTGGTTGGAACGGTCGTGTATTGGACAAAGAAAACATCCTAAAATTGTGATTTTTAGATAAGATAACCTTTGGCGGTTGTATTCTCGCAGATAGAGGGTTTTTAATTGAAGAAGACACAAAGACAGCTGTGCCAAGAATACATTCATTTAGAAAAAGAAAGAGCCAAATATCAGCACGCCGTGTAGTTTTATCAAGGTAAAAGTGTGTATGTGGGAGGAGGGGGGAGGGAGGGCAGGAGGGGGAGGGAGGGGAGGGAGGGGTAGGGGAAAGGATGGGGAGGGGGAAAGGAGGGGGGAGGAAGATGCAGTGGGAGAGAAGAGAGTTAATAATTAAATTAATTTAATAATTAAATCAATTTGATTATTAAACTTACAAAAAGTTGTATATTTCGATGAGCATATTTTTATTATTAATTCTATGTAAGCTTTTTTGGTTCGTGCAACGATTTGCCCAAAACACGTCGCCGTAATCGCCTCATTTTTATTTTTTTAAATTCACATGCTATGTAATTCTTATAAAATACTTTACAAAACGTTTTCATTGAACAAGCATAAAATGCAAAAGTTACTTGATTAGGTATCTTTTACTCGTATTAGGTATCTTTTACTCGTATACTAAAACTCCTAAAGCAACCTGTTTTTCAAGGAAAAGCCTTTAAGAGACTAAAAATAATTCTAAAATAAAAAACAAAATTTAATGGGAAAAAAAAGTATCGAAAAATGAATATCTAATTCTTCAAATCATCACATCATCAAGGCAAACTCAAATAACGATCTATGTATTTAACACTCTGTGGCAATAAAAATAACCGTTTTTAAAAATCAAAATACATTGCAAAATAATTGGGTAAACAGAAGAATCCTATTAAACATAATTTTATTCTAAGCAGCTGTTGCATATCAAGAAACCAACTGGTGCCTATGCAATTTTCACACAAGAATAATGAAACCATTCAACTTTACAATCTGGTTTATCACATGCTATCATTGGTTCAAAACAGAGTCTTTTACAAATGCAATAATGCCTTTGTTTATTGTCTAAACATGCATCATTTTTGCGCATAACAACTTCAGGAAATAAACACTCAATAAAATATTTTCAGACCAAAGGCATAATTTCATTAATAAACTTTAAGTCTTTTGTAACTTGAATTAACGAATAATGATTTGAAGCCCAAACAAAAAATTATTAATTGTTATATTTAAAATGCATAACTTCATATTATAAAGTTATGCATTTTGAATATAACAATTCAAGTAACTCATTGCCAAATTTGCTAATTTTTATGAATCATAAAAATTAGTCGCTCTAATTCTTCCTGCTCTGTGAATTTTAATTCACTATTATTTTCTGCAAATGTGATAAAATGGGAGGGATGCAAAAAAATGTTAGACTTTTTTGTCTGATAGTTTAACTAATTTTAATTAGTTTAGCATTGTGCTCTCCTACATAAAAACTGGGACAATAGTCAGCCTACTGATAGTCAATGTATAATAAAGATGATTTTTATGCCTAATAAATCATATCCTAATGTTATCTGGTGCAGCTACAGAGCTTGTGAAACATGTTTAAACCAATTTTTCACTTTACCCAGTTTCTGTAGTTGGGTAATTCTATGTAAAATTGGGACAAAAAATTTAAATTCTTTAATCATCCCTTCAGATATCATTAAAATTTCAAACTGTAGTACCTATCAATGAAACATGAAAAAATATAAAGTTTGAGCTTCCAAATCCAAACTGTTCAAGTTAAATTCAGCCTTAACTGCCTCCCCCCCCCCCTCCCTCTAATCTGCCATTATGGGTATAGTTGTTGCCCTAATCTCATGGATTTGAATTTTTTTTGAAGATTTCAGGCTACTACTGTAAAAAAAATATGGTTTTGGTCTCTTAAAGCATAATAAAGATATGCCATTTTGAAGTTTAGATAAAAAATTCCTTATTTGGGCTCACATTCTCTGTTATAGACTTTTCAACAAAACTTTTTGTGTGAATATTATAAGTTGTAGTGGAGGTTTATGACTGAAAATTGGTACTTGACCATTTTTGAAATTACTGAATCCAAAGATGAAAATAACCAAATTCAAAATATTTGATCATCATTTTTTTAATTTTAAAATGTTAAATAAAATATTCTGTTTCATCGCCATAAAACAGGGCAACGCAGTAAGTTTAAGTTGCCTGACTTTCATGAGTTTATCATGGTGTACAAAAATAGTTTTTTGAGGTTGGTTATGATGTGTAAATATTGTTTTGTGATTTTAGATATTGTGATATAATATATTTTTTTTGTGTTAGATGTTTAAATATAGTTTTAAAATGCCAGTTATGATGTATAAAGCACAAACATTGTTTTAATTTTAGATTAAATAATTATTGAGTCTTAATTGGTAATTCAGTTTCTCAGTCATGGAAAGCAATCAACTGTGCTCTATTGGAAGCAAGCAAGAAAGTCAAGTAAATGTCATCTCACAACATATATACCATTGCGTGGGAATTTAATATTTTGAAGACATTCCTTAATATGAAAAAGAAATAATAATGTGGACAACTGGGCTATTACTAATCAATATCAAATTAACAACTTGTCTCCATTATTGTTTATTTGAAGTGTTATGCAACTAAATTAACTGCTGTAATCCATTTATTACCAATTACATAGTTAAATTAGGTATTATTAGGCAAGACTACTTTTACTTTTTAAATTTATGAAGATTATAATGACGAACTTGGTCAAAAAAAAGACATTTTAAGCTAAATTTAACAAAATGTCATAACTTTTGAACCATTTGGATTTGGATGCTCAAACTTTACATTTTTTAATGTTTCATTAAAAGGTTCTACTGTTTGAAATTTAAAGAAAACTGAGGGGTGACTGGAATAACTGTTTTCCTTAAACACGGAATTACCCATTTAAAATAACTTTTGTTTAATTATATCATATTTGATAGTATACCAAATTTTAGTATTTTCTTTAGATAACTGATAAAACGCATTTTGAAATATGAATATTGAAACATTTAATGAAATAAAAGGTATGTTTTACTGTTGTTTTATTATATTATATTATATTATATATATATATATATATATATATATATATATATATATATATATATATATATATATATATATATATATATATATATATATATATATATATATATATATATATATATATATATATGTATATATATTATATGTTAACAAGAAGATAAAGCTGAAGATTTTAATGAAGCAAAAAGACTAGCAGTTCAACTTCCTAAAGGATTAGAAATAAAAAAAAGTCTTATTCCCAATGCCGGTTTTGGTGTATTTGCTAAAGAAACATTTTATGTAGGAGGAAAGTTTGGACCATACAAAGGAAGAAAAGTTCCTCTAGATTCATCTTTGGAGGGTGTCGATACTCGTTACATGTGGGAAGTAAGTAATTTCATTATTTAGTATATTAAGTAATATTGTTATAATATATATATATATATATATATATATATATATATATATATATATATATATATATATATATATATATATTATATATAATTATATATATGTATATATATATATATATATATATATATATATATATATATATATATATATATATATATATATATATAATGTGTTCCAGGAATTTTTTTCTAATAATATTTCTTATACTACTCCACTGCAGCAGATTGAACAGGGTGGCCAGTGGTCCTTAAAAAAATTGAAAACCTGGAAATGTCCTCGAATTTGATAGGTCCTGGAAAAATCCCGATAGAAAAACACCTTTTTTAGCAATAAATCCTGGAAATCCTTGAACTTTTTTCTGAAATACTTCAATATTTTGATATTAACATTTATAACATGGGAGTATCTGCCTCGGATTCTCATCTAACTGGTAAAAAGCATAAATTTAATGCAAATACATATAATGCAGCAGATATATTCTTTATTGGTAGTTTATTAGTTTTTTATTTTAGTTTTTTTTTACTATTATTTCAATATGTTTTCCTGAATTTTTGAATGCTTGTAGCAAATTAATTGGGTGTGTTCTATCAGTAACTTACAAGAGGAATGCTTTTTAAAGAGGAATGCTTCATCTTTGTCTCCAAATGCAATGGTTTAAAACAAGGAAGTATCCACTTTGAAATTCAAGTGTCTTGCTGAGAGATTATGTGTATTAAAATGGCTTTGCAGATGATGCAAAATAACAATTTGATAAGTTTTTTGGTGCAGAATGTGTTCGATTTAGAGTCTTTAAAATGATAATAGATAAATTTGAGTCTTTTAATAAGTTAACTGATTCTGTTTATAAATTTCTTGGTGTTTATTTGCACAAAACTCAAAAATATTCACCATTGTGGAAAGTCTGTGCTATCATTTTAGTTTTATCTTATGGCCAATAGGCAATAGAACAAGGATTTAGTATTAACAAGCATTTGTTAGTTGAAAATCTACAAGAAAGATCTCTTGTTTCCCAAAGAACGTTTTATAACCACATCAGTTCCAATGACATTGTTATTTATCAGTATGAGCTTCCCAGTGATCTTTTAAAAAGCTGAAGGTTAGCATAGAATAGGTACAATTCAGTGTTAAAGGAAAATAAGGATCAGTTAAAGGTAGACGAAGTAAGAAACTTAAATTGATTGATGAAGAATGTGTAATTATAAAGAAACAGAATTTTTTTTTTGGAAAATGCATCAAAGTTCTTAAAACTGATGTTGACAAGTTAAACATTGAAGAAGAAAAGCAAAACTTCACTATCCTTACTAAAGCAAATTCCTTTAGAAACACAATTTTAGAAAAAGAACTGGCAATTAAAAAGCCTGATATTTCACTAAAAAAAACTTGATTAATTTAAGAAAGAGATTAAATAGAAGTGTTTGATAACCTTTTGTATGTCTATATATATACAATATAAAATATTTTTTAACTTGTACCAAACTATATACAACTATATTACAATATATATTTATATTTATATATAAACATATTTTGAAGACAATATATTTTGTTTTTTCTGGTCATAAAAAGATCAATATATCCTTGAAAAATCCCAAATCATCCTTAAAAAATCCTGAAAATATCCTGGAATTTTAAATTAGCTTTTGGCTGGCTGCCCTGTTGGACAGCGCCAAAAATAAAATAAAATACAGTCTGTAGCATATATTCAAGATAAATATGCAATCAACACAAAATAAGACATAGTTTCACAATGACGTGGTAAATAAGGATCCGATTTCCAATATATATTATGGGTTTTACTTTTATTTTATAAAATAATTAGTGTGTATTAATTAATTATTATTAGGAATAATATATTTGATTTATTTTTAATATTAATATATCATTGCCGCTTTCATTCCAAGAGAATTCTTTTAAATATATATTTCTTTTTCAATGGTAGGCATTGAATGGCAATTTTTAAAGTAATATAGTGATTTATGTTCAATAAAAATCTCAGCAGAAAAGAGCTAAATGTAGTTTAATTACAAAAAATATTAATTGCAAGTGCTTGCATGCTATCGTGGCATCGAAGAATACCAATAATTAATTTTTTATTCATAGTCATAAAATGTTATTATGACTATGGTTCATTCAAATGTTTAAATTAGCTTTTACATTTTAAATTCAAGCAAAAAGTGACTCCAGTTTTCTTGATTTTTAAATTTCTAGTGCTAGTTTGTTGTAATAAAAAAAAACATTCTTGTTATTAAACGTATTAATTTAGGCTTTAAAATACATATTTAATTTACGTTTTAATTAAAAGCAAGCATTAAAGTAAAGAAATCTATTTTCTTCGTTAAATAAGTTTCTAGTACCAGTTTGTTATAATATGAAAACATTTTTTGTATTCAACTTATATTTCAGAGGTGGTCTTTTAAAAATGTTAGTCGAGAAAAGATAGAAGATAAGTAAAAAATGATTTTAGTCAATGCAATCCTGACATCCAAAAGGTTGCACAGGGTTGCAAAAGGCATTAAATAAGATGATCTTTGTTTGTATTTGTGTAAAGCTGAACTTTTTACGATGAGGTTCGCTTTATCATACATAGAGCGTACGTGTTTTAAGATATCTTTGTCATCCTGCATATCATTTGAGATCAAATGACCAAGGTATTTGTATTGACAAGTGTATGTGAGAACCATGTCAGAAAAGGTGAAGTGGGTTTACAAGGGGTTTATACATTTAAAAAAACATTATATGAGACTTAATGTTGTTATAAACTTTATCATGTTTCACAGCATAACGAGAGCATAAGTCAAGTAATATCTGGAGACCTTTGGCTGAGGGTGCGCTCAGGACAATATCATCAGCATAAAGAAGTAATAATTATAGATAATTTTAGATTAGTTTCATAAATAGTGTGTCAAATCGAACTCTATCAAATGCTTTACTAATGTCAATAAATGCCACATGCATATTTGAGCCATGTGATAGGTAAAAATTTAAAATATCTTTTAAAATAAGAACTGGCATAAAAGTGCATAAATGATTTAAAGTTTTCCAGCCTTTTTATATCTCCCTTTAGATACAGACACCATATTTCATTTGCATATTCTAAAAGTGGCCATATATATGACTAATACAAAATTTCAGTAATTAATGTATTTATTTTGCTAAATGTTCTTTTTATCAGACCAAATATGCATTTGCTTCATTACATGTGTTTAACAATTGCATTTTCTATTTTAAATCTGATCTTATTATGATTTCTAAATATCTTACTTCATTTGATGATTCAAAGACTATTTAATGATTCAAAAAAGTTGTTTACTATCTACTTTATGTATAGTATTTTTTTATTATTATTTTGACAAGGCTGCAAGCAACCACTATTAAGTTGGGAGTTACTAGAAAAAAAGAACAGAGTTATAGAGCAAGGAAACTGTTGACAGAAGACCTAAAAATTTGAAGGTTGTATGAGTCAGGAAAACATGAAGATGGGAGAGAGTTAAAAAAACTAGACGAATAAAAGGTTTTGGAGCATACAGGAACAGATACAGTAAAAGAATGAGACTTTGCTGAATGACAAGTCAAGTGAGAATGCATTTTAGTTGATGAAACTAGAAATGATAGCTCCTTTGAGCAGTGGTCATTTAGCAGTATTTGTAGAATAGAGAAAAAGATGTTACTTTACGATGATGGGAAAGAGGCTCAAGCTTAGCAGATAGACCGGATCCAACTATGTTTACAATGTTTTTGGACCTTGTCAAGAAGAGAAAGAGCATCATTAGAAGAACCAGCCATAATATGATAACAGTATACCATACAGGGACAAATAAGAGATTTGTAGAGGTAGAGAATGGAATCAGAAAAGAGAAAATATCAAGCAAGATAAAGAGAAGTAACCTTAGCAGATGTTAATTTAGCAATCGATTGCATATATGGTTTCCATAAAAGGTCAGTAGTAAATCATAATCCAAGAAGGTATAAAGAAGAGGACTCAGTGAGTGTAGTATAATTATATATTAAATTTTGCGCAATTTGATTGATTGATGTTTAAGTTGATTAACCAGTCTTTACACCACTTTAAAATATTATTAATATTTTGATTAATCAGTCTTTACACCACTTAAAAATATTATTAATATTTTTTTGTAATGATAAACATTGTGTCAAATAATTTACTTTAGCTATTTGAGATGATCTCATTCAAATCGTTAATGAAAATGGTAAGTAAAATTGGCCCGAGCATGGAACCTTGTGAAACACCACTCAAGACCATCATCTAAGTTGATAAAAATCACTCATAAAAACTTGTTGTTTACGTAGATATAAAAAATCTGCAATCCATTTCAATAATTTGTCTTTTATACCATAAGCTGATGATTTTAACTATAATCACTGATGTGGTAATGATTCGATGACCTTAGCGATATCTAAAAAATGAATATCCTTGGATGAATTTAGGGATAAATATTATCTAATCAAGTCCATGAATTCTACTGAAATAGTGATACATGATTTTTGTTTCAAAAATCCATGTTGATTCTGGTTCAATAACTTTTCACCATACAAAAATTTAAGTTTTAGGTTGTGTACTTAAAAATTTAAGTATAAAACCTTTTATAACGGATTATATGACCTTAGAGGTTAAATATATGGGTCTATAACTCTCTGAAAATTATCTACTACCCTTATTAAATAATGGGGTTACATTTGCAGCTTTCTAAATATCAGGGAGTTTAAAACTAACAATACTAGACCATGTATTACCAATACTAACAATACCATTATTTGCTCTTTACCAAACTTTCTAGTTTAGCGATTTGCATTTTTTAGATCATCAATGATTTTATTATTCTCATCATTTTGTTTTTTTAAACTTAAAAAATGAACACTCTTTATATTAAGTCAAAAAAATGTTTGCCATCTTTAATGTAAGCAGCGCATAATCATCTAAATTAAAAGTTATATTAATTTTATTTTTACTTGTTTATATTTTAATTGTTTTAATATTCGTTAAGATTTTGTTTATCTTTTCAATTTATGTTTTGTCTATTTTAAAATATCTAAATAAATTTGTTTGCTAAAAATAATTTTTTCATCAAAATAAGTTTACAATATACACCTCTGTAATATAATATATTACTCAGATTACTGTACAAAATTAATGTACAAAAAAAAATAAAAAAATAAAGCAATTAAATCATTGCAACAGGAAGATTAAATTTAACTTATTCATAGTTTAAAGTAACTTAAAAAAATGATCTTTTAAAAGACTTTTAGAAAGATATGGAAAAATAGTTTTTAATTTATCATTTATATTTATATGCCTTAAAAATTTTTTTTTTTAAATTTACACAAAATGCATTTTTTTTAAACAACTGCTATAATTAATTTTTTATTTGAAGCCTTCGCATAAAATAAAAAGTTTAGAAAATATCAACAATTAAAAGTTATTGATAATGTAACAATTTTTTATAGCATACAAATTGTTAAAACATCAAAACTTTGCTCGCTTACATTTGCTAAGTAAGGTCTATTTTTGCTGATGTTCAAATAAAATTCATTGTTTAGAGAAGGGTGTGTTATACACCCTTTTTTTTGCAAACCTGGCGCCGACTACTTTTGAACATTGTCAATTTAAAGAGAATTCTGTAAACAATTATATATATATATATATATATATATATATATATATATATATATATATATATATATATATATATATATATATATATATATATCAAGCCTCGGAATTAGGATCGACATTCGGCAATGCCGACCTAACTGCCGACCTGAAATTGTTTGAGGTTGGCAAAAAATTGCTGAACTTGTTTCTATATTTTGTGGTCAGATCTTTGTATCAAATAGTTTTTGCCGACCTGATGCTGACCTCAAAAAGAATAAGGTCAGCAATTATTATTTATTATATATATATATAATATATATATATATATATATATATACATATATATATATATATATATATATATATATATATATATATATATATATATATATATATATATATATATATATATATAATATATATATTCACTACTGTAATTTTAATCATAATTTGACTTGATTGATTGCATTGTTATTGGAAATAAATTCAGTTTTGTTGAAATGCTATTTTGTTCCAATCAAGGCAACTGCAAAAATCACATACTAACTAGAGAAAAACAAATGGTTTGTTTGTCTTATTACTTGAATATTTGTTTTTGAACAAAAATCCAAGTAATAAGACTTATATCTTTCTAGCTAATATATTAATGAGTTTTGAAACCTGCATCTGCTTATTTTTGACTGATACATTTTTCAAAAGTTTTATTAAAACAGGTCATGGCATGACAAACTTGGTAATAAATACAACTGAGTTACTATAAGCTAATACAAATTCAGACATTAATTTTATTAAAATATGTCAGTTGTTTAGTAATTTGTATAAATTAGGGTAATTTGTCAAAATACAAAATTAAAATAATCAAATTTAATATTTTTAGAAAAAATAATATTTTTAACATTTAATATTTTTAAAAGATACAAATTTGTCAAATTTACAAAGTTAAAATAATCTAATATAGAAATTACTAAACAAAAATGTTGTGTTTTAAAGTGAGACTGCAAATGGGCGTTATTCAGAAGATAGGAGATGGACCTATTTTTGTGGTTTGGATAGTGAGAAATGCCTATTTTTGGTGAAAAATTGTTAATTGATTCAACTAAAAAAAGTTTGTAGATCCTGGATTCATTTTGAACATCAGTCAAAAATCAGTTGTAGAGACTTCTTGGTTGAATGGTTGTTCATTAAGTTGAAAAGTTGGGAGAAACAAATGAAGATTCATTGAAATCACAAGTAATATAGAAATGACAAGAGATATAGAAATTACATAATGAAACAGAAATATTTCTTAAAAAAAAAAGAAGTTCATTTTGCTTAGATTCTTGTTCAATAGTTGGTCTTAATACCTTTTTGTTACCTTGTTAACAATAAAAGAATTTAAAATCTTTATCTTAATTGTTTAAAGAAATTTTAGAGAATGAAAAGAATGAAAGGAATGTTGCTGACAAATGTTTTGTGTGCGCTAAAAAAAGTATTTAGTAGCAATACAAATGAAAGAGATATATAATCAATGAAAGAGATAAGCAAGTGTTGAAATATTAAGAATACAGGAGAACATCTATGTTAATGTTGCAAACTATTTTACTTGGAAGTTTTAAGATTTATGATATTAAAAAATGTAAGTTCAACAGAAGTAAAACCTTTTTGAAAAAGATATTTTTTATTGTATTGACCTATCTATGTTAGCACATAATGAGTGTTTTTTCGGGATATTTTATTTTTTTAGTTCTTATGTACAAGTTGGTTTTGAAAACAGGTATCTTAATAGATTTTCATAATTGTGTTTGGTGCATCAATATTAGATTTTCAACCAAAGTACCATAAGTACAACTAGGTCAACAAGAATTGCTACAATCTAAAAACACTTTTTTAACTTCTTCAACTCTATTGGTAAAGTTTATGGATTCTGACTTTAAACTCATTAACATCTTCAAGTACCATATTTTCTAATTTTTAAGTTCTATTTTTTCATGTCTGTTAGATACAAAATTGAGAAATTTCCATCACCTTAATATCATCTTTATAAATGTTACGTATGTAAAATTACCAATCTTTTCTTTACTTATAAAAATCTGAATAATTTTCTGGAAAAGAAAGCTGTTATTAGGCATGGCTATAATAGTGGTAGTTTAGGTTAGACATAATAACATCTAATTCTTCAATTGGGATTTGGAATGTGTTAAAACTCTCAGGATATACAAATTTTTTTTTTTTTGTATACCGTAAGGCATTTAATTTTTCTTACCTCTTCAGGCAGTTCATTTAAAAAGTAATTGTCTTTAAGAATTTTTTTAAACATGTTTTGTAAATTCACTTTATACAGGTAGAAGACTATTACCCAGACCCCCAGCCTATATAATGCTAAGAGACATATTAGTACTATTATTTTCAGTAAGTCAATTTCATGATAGTCTTTGTTTAATTTAGTTGCTGAAAGGTGAAATTAAACTTGATATATCCTACAAAGAAAAAATAGATGAGTTTTTTGGAGTCGATGCTTAATCTGAAACTTTATTTGAAAAAGTCGCTTAAATAGAAGTTTTATATAATCATATTCCATCTCAAGAAATCTGATCATATATTCTTGAAAAACAAATAATATAAATGGGATTTGATAAAATTTTTATGAAATCTTGAAAGGAGAAGTCCTCGCTACTTGCATCAGATCAAACATTGAAAGTAATAAAAACCATAATTTCAAAACCTGTAAAGACTTAATATGTTATCATGGAAAAAAGTTAAGAACTATGGTTGCTGAACACAGTTCAGTAAAGTTTTAAGAAGATTTACAAGAGTATATTTATATTGAAAGAGTACAATATCTTTTTTGAAAAATACTATGATATTAGAAATACTAATTGTGGCGTTTCATATATCTAAATTTTTAGTTAAAGATTTTTATTTGTTTTGTATGTGTCAGTGGAGGCAGAACATTTTGAATAATATTTATTAAAATTATAATATTTTTCAAAATAAAAAAATGTACTTGGGGCATGCAAAACAACAATTACCCTCAAAAATGCCTCCAGTAACCTCCTGGTCGTAGGAAATTAATTTAAAAAGGTATATATATTTCCTTAAATAAGATCATATAATTCCTTAAATAAGATCATACATTTGACTCTTGATATCTTGAACTCTCAGGAGACCGAAAAAAAAAGATAAATTTTATCTTTGTTCATTAATTTTCTACAAACCTTTTTTTATCTACTTAAATAATAATTTAAGCTTTCTTTTATTGAATTTTATTTAAGTGGTCAGTTTTCACTTGTTCATTTTCTCCAGAAAAAGGGAAAGAAAAATAATCATGAGAGTATGTGTAGTTTTGTTTTTAACAATTTAAAAATGCATTTTTCCTGAAGTTGCTACCCCTCTGCAATATCTAAATCATGTGCATCCTCATTGTTTAACTACCTCAAGTAGGTGTTAGAGTTGCATCACTCATCCACTTATTTTACCTTTCCTTTCCCCTTTCTGTAAAAAAGGAAATGAGTGGAAACTGACCTTTATATTTTTTGATCAAATAAAGTTTTGTTTTTATTTTCAAATATTAAGGTAATCAAGGAAGGAAATGTTTTGCATTGTGTTGATGGAAAAGATGAGCATCTTAGCAATTGGATGAGATATATAAACTGTGCGCGTATTGAAAAAGAACAAAATCTTAAATCTATTCAGTACCACGGGGAAATTTACTACTATGTTTACAAACAAATTGATATTGGGGCAGAGTTGCTTGTTTGGTATGGAGATCAGTATGCAAAAGATCTTGGTATAGAATCTGATTTAAATCAAAGTAATTTAAAACTTTGTATGAAATAATTAGTTACCATGCATAAATCAGTTTAAATATGTTGTTACCTCATTCCATCCAAAATGGGCTTGTTATTATAATGTTTCTTATCTTAGATTTTGCTCTGGCATTTTTTTTTTTTTTGCACATACACACACACACATATATATATATATATATATATATATATATATATATATATATATATATATATATATATATATATATATATATATATATATATATATATATATATATATATGTATATATATGTATATATATATATATATATGTATATATATATATATATATATATATATATATATATATATATATATATATATATATATATATATTAAAAAATCATGCTCCATAATCCCAGACCGGCATCTAAATCAGTTTTTAAGAAAAAACTATTTAAATAGTGGAGTTTTTTGCTTAAATTTTATAAAAATAACAAAAAATTACGTGCTGCCCAAGATTGCGTCATTTTTTGTTCTTACATTTTTCATCAGATTATGTGTTTTTTAATAAATATAAAAATATTAATGAGCACTTATTTATAACCTTGAAAAATATTCTTCAAAAGTCAGGTAAATTCCCAATGAAAAATTAAAATTTGTTTATCATTTTAAAAAGAAATTAAAAGAAATTAAAAGAAAATAAATAGTTGTTATGAATTTTTTATAAAATGAAAAGTAAAAAAGAGATAATTTTTAGTGTTTTAAAACTTGTTTCCAGCCTCAATTCTTTTGAATTAGGTTCACTTAAATATTTTTGGTTTATTTTTGGTTTATTTTCTAAACTATTTAACAAGTGCTTATCAGAGTCTTGTTTTCCATCATGCTGGAAAGCAGCATCTGTTATCCCTATTTTCAAAAATTCCGGAGAGCGATCTGATTCATCTAACTACCGTCCCATTAGTCTTCTTCCTGTCATAAGCAAGGTTTTCGAATCTTTAATCAACAAACATTAATCTCTCATCTTGAATCAAATAACTTACTTTCTGATCATCAATATGGATTTCGGTCTTCTCGTTCTACAGCTGATGTGCTAACAGTAATAACCGATAGGTTTTACCGTGCATTAGATAGAGGTGGAGATGTTAAGGCTATCGCACTTGACATTTCTAAAGCTTTTGATAAAGTTTGGCATGCTGGTCTTCTCCATAAGCTTTCTTCTTATGGTGTAGCTGGTAACGTCTTTAAGATTATTGAGTCCTTTCTTTCCAATCGTAGTATAAAAGTTGTCCTCGATGGACAACACTCTTCTTCACATCCTGTAACTTCAGGGGTTCCTCAAGGTTCAATCCTTGGCCCTATACTCTTTTTAATTTACATTAACGATCTTCCAGATATTCTCACATCTAAGGTGGCATTATTCGCTGACGACACTACCATTTACTCTTGTCATGATAAGAAGCCTACACTCTCTGATTGCTTGGAGGGGGTATCTGAGCTTGAAAAGGATCTCACTTGTGATGGGTGAGAGTATTAAGATCTTGTTGATGTGTAAGGAAATGAACTAGACAAATAAATTTTTTTTTAGCATGACAGTACAGATACATAAAATGAATGTAACTTTATTGAATGGCAAGCCAAGCGAGAATGAATTTTGGTTGATTGAGATGATAGCTTGTTTGAACAGCAATCATGATGTAGAAAAAAGAAAGAGGTGTAACCTTATAAGGAAGGGAGAATGGTGCTAACTTGGCAATTAAAGCAGGTCCAACTTCATTTATAATATGTCTTTTGACCTTGTTTAATAGTGAGGTTGTTATTCATCAATATAGGAATTTCGACAATATTGCGATAGTTGTTAGCAGTAAATAACTGTTACATAAGTGATCAAAAAGTAAAGGCAATAGTTTAAAGTTGAGATGTCAGCAAATAGAGCCACTGTAGATGTAAGATTGTCAGGAAGATTTTTATTGTAGATAAGAAACAATACAGTAGCAAATATAAAACCTTACAGTACTCCTAAAGTTATTGGAAATGAAGAGTGTAGGCCTTCAAGAATGACTTTTATACTGCTTTTAGAAAGAAATGATTTAAATATCTATTATTTTTTAGGTGAAGAAACTAATACTAGAGAGGACTAATTGTAGAATAATTGGAAAGGTGTTTTTCTATAGTTTTTAAATATTGGAATTATTTAGCACTTAATTAAGCTAGGAATAAAGATAATTATGGAGAAAACTTTTATAATGATAGAAATGTTGTCTTAATCACAAGTTGTAGAAGATAAAAATTAAGAAATTTAGCATCTGAAGCCAAAGTGATTTGGATCTAACAATGAGTTTACCTGTTTAACTGGAATGGCAGAAAGAGTATGGACATCAAGTATGGATTCAAGAGTCAAAGTAGAGGAAAGGTTCTTTGTAAGTAATTCTGTTCTGGGGAAAAATAATAAGATCAGAATCATGAATTAAAGATGGAATGACTTACTTTAGTTTGTTTTCTGGAAAATCTTTAATAGTGAGATAGGATACAAGATTTATTAAACTTAGAATAATAGATCTTAGCATCAGACAAGACCTTTTTGCATAAATATATTTTTGGTGAAAACAGAAAAGGGATATAAAAATCTTTTCTTCAAGAGTGAAATCATGAAGAAAAGATAGTGCAGAATAAGTTTGGTGATAAATTTTTTTGATCTTTGAGATCATCAAGGAAAAAAGAAAAGTTTACTTGGGCCGAATTTAGAGTTTTTCTTTTTCATTTCTTTTTAATAGAGACGTTCTAGTAAAACAGACAAATATATATATATATATATATATATATATATATATAATATATATATATATATATATATATACATTTATATATATTTATATATATATGCATATATATATACATACATTTATATACCTTATATATATATATATATATATATATATATATATATATATATATATATATATATATATATATATATATATATATATATATACATATATATATATATATATATATATATATATATATATATATATATATATATATATATGTTAATATTATTGTTCTAAGCAATCAAAAAGTCAAGATTATTTGTCAAGACAGAGTATAAAGTTGAGTTGTCAGCAAATAGTGCCTCTTGTAAAATTTTCATGAAGATTGTTATTGTAGATAAAAAACAGTACAGGAGCAAAGATAGAATCTTGTGGTACCTTTAAAGTTACCTGAAATAAAGAAGAGTGTAGGCATTCAAGAATATTTTTAATAATGCAGTTAGAAAGAAGTAATTTAATAATCTCAAAAACTTTATATAAAGAAACTAATAAAAGAGTGAAGACTAATTGTAAGGTAGTTGGAAAGGTCAAAGTTTTAAATCTTCTAATTTTATATTTCTTGGGTTAAAAAAGTTAGGAAAAAGTACTAAACTCTACTATAATATTTAATATTACCCTTTAGACTGATAAATATAAATTTCAGAACGAATAAATAAGATTTCAAAAGTAATAAATAATATCAAGAAACATATAGACTATATTATAGTTAACAAAATACAAATTGTATTTGGTATTACAATTATGTAACAACATATAATTACAGGCTTTAATATAATACTAATTTACTATAAAATTAAAAATTTTAAATTATTAAATTTTTTTTATTATTATTTTTATTTTTTTGTTGCAAAACCTTACTTCTAATTGTTTTTTTTTCTTACGTTTTTTTACTTTTTTTTTAAAAAACTTTTTTCTAGAGTTTTGAAAAATTGGAACCACTTGTTTTGCACTTTTTAAAAGTTTAGTGAAATTGAAGAGAGTTCTGGAGAACACTCTTCTTTAGGACTATTATAGAAATCTTGTCTGGAGCACTAACTGTAGAAGTGTTTAATTGAGAATTAACTTTAGCATTGAAAGCCAGAGTGATTTGGATGTTTAACAATGGGTTAATCTGTTCAACTGGCAGGAAGAGTGTGGCTAGATTCAAAAGTCAAATTAGAGTAACCCATAAATTAAAGATTATATGTTAGACTTACTTTAGTTAATGACACTGTTAAAGACTTACTAAAAGTCTCTAGTACCTAACATCTGAGATAAGATACAAGATTTAGTAAACTGAAAATAACAAAGCTTAACATCAGACAGGACCTTTTTACATTAGCTTTTTGGAATAACAAAAAGACATTTGTCTTAAGAGAGATGTTCTTGTAAAAAAGATGAAAAAAATTTGTTTAATAAAGCAACTTCTCAAGATTTGAAATTGAAGAGACATATTATATAATATAAACATATGTTATATTATATAAACATATGTTTATATAAACATATGTTTATATAAACATATGTTTATATAAACATATGTTTGCTATTTATTTAGATATGGCTGGCATACAATATCCTTTTATATTTTTATGGTGTAGTGTTTGCCAAACGAGAAGATGATCAGATGGATGTGTGGCGAGACTCTAACAAGACAAGAATAGGAGACATAATCTTAGACAGATAAGAAAAAAATGTTGCATCAAACCCTGGGGAACCTGTAAAAATACAAATCTTTGTCTTTTTTCTTATACTTTTTCCATATATATATCCTAGCTGTAATTTATGGGCCCTAGCCAGACCCTTAAATTACAGGTCTTTACTAAACTGACCATTTCTATACTTATATATTCAGCACCAATCATTTCTCTACTTATTCCTTGTTTACTTCAATATTTTTAGTAAAATAATTCATTTCAAAAAATTGCTTTAAGAGCAAAAAAAATCAACATACGCATACGAAGAGCATATAAGAGATTTATAAAATGGTTTTTTTTCTCCTAGATACATATCTTTGACGGCTCAGTGGCATAGTGTGCATCTATCAAAGTCATCATGGGGGGTTCAAGTCCTCCCCTAAGCATAATAAATTTGTAATTTTTAATAATGTTGCTGTATATAATTATAAAATATATATATATATATATATATATATATATATATATATATATATATATATATATATATTTTTATAATAAAAAAAAAATTTGGATTATTAAAATAAAATTTTAAA